ACAAAATAGCTACAATTTTTGAATTTTTATTGTCAGTAGTAAACGTTAGTTTTAGTTAGACATAAAATTTTTTTTTAAAAGAAAAAATTAATAACTTTTCATATTTTTGGTATTTCAGTAGTAAAAATAAGTTTTGGTCAGACAGAACTTTCTGTATTTCTACTTTCAGTAGTAAACGTTGTTTTTAGTCAGACAAAAATGATATTTTTTTTCCTCTATTTTCAGTAGTAACAGTAAATTTTGGTTAGACAATTATAATTTTTGAATTTATTTCAGAAACAAATGTTAGTTTTAGTAAAACATAATTTTTTTTTGTAAATATTAATAACTTTTCATATTTTTGGTATTTCAGTAGTAATAGTGCGTTTTTGTCAGACAGAAATGTTTAAAATCGATTTTATTTCGTTGCAAGTAGTAAAGGTAACTTTTAGTTACATATAAATTTTTGTACTTTTCATTAAAAGTGGTAAAAGTAGTTTCAGGTCAGACATAGAATTTTAATTTTTCTTTTAAATTTAAATATAAGTAAAAAATTCACTTTCAATCAGACACAACTGTTTAAATTTTTCTATTTTAGAGTAAAAATAAAAATAATAATCATAATAATAAACAAGCAATAATAATAATAATAATAATAATAATAATAATAATAAATTCAAAGAAAAAAAACCAATGTAATAGAATAATAAATAATTGAAATTTGCACCTTTAGAATTTGAATTAAGAATTTGTTTCAAGTTTGAGGGACTCATTAAGGAAATTAATAATTTGTTTCAGCTTCCTTTGAATAATAATTAACTGAGACAAGCGCACGTTGCTGAATTTCAATTAATCGATTCATTGCCTCAATTACGTTGTTAGTTATCGTATTAATATATGTAGACCAATTTATTGACAATCTTCTCGTAATGAACTTTAAATCAATTTCCGACGCGATGTGTTACACAAATCAATATTATTGTCACTGTATATATATATATATATATATAAATCTTTTATATCATAATTGAGAGAAAAATTTGTATCATTTGTGTAAAATTTTTAAAATTATTTTCTTATATATTTATAAATATAAATTGAAAAAAGTTTAACTTGCTTAATTGGAACTATTCATGATAATAAAATAAAAATTTAAAAGTGAAAAAAAAAAATTATGAATGGGATAAAATTTGATTTTGTGTTAATTAAAGATTTGTGACTTTTATTTTATTAGAGATTGACTCTTTTTGCGATATATATATATATATATATATATATATAATATATATATATATAATATATATATATATTGAGTGCGACTAACGCTAAGATTGCGTCTTTTCTGACCTCAGTGACATTTCTATATATGTAAGAATCCATTTAGCTTTTTCAAGAAGAAAAGTGGTAGCAAGACTGCGTAATTACTCATTTGAAAAGCCCCGTTGTTCCGGAAACTTCTAATTTAAAACGAGCTAGTACCGAAAAAAAAAAACGAAAAAGATAGAAATGTTGACCCGGAATTTTTTTTTTTTTAGCTCGATTCATCGCATAAAAAAAACCTCATGATATACCTTCTAGAAAGTGAAAAATTCCCAAGGAAATGTATAGAGAAAAGAAACTCTTGTTTATCTACATCCCCTTTGAATTTTTCTCACACAAAAATTGTTTCAAAAAAAAAATTCAGAATTTAAAAAAAAAAACATCTTTCAACAATTTACTTTCTTTCTCTCTTCATTCTCGTTGATTTATTCTTGATTTATATGATATTAAAAAAAATTAATCTAAGTCCCACTTTATGTAGCATAAAATCTTTTTTTTTTTTTTTTTCTTATTCACAAAAATTATTGCTTTATTTTCTTTTTAATAATTCTAATTTTTTTTTGTTTCAATTTAAAAATATAAAAATTATAATTACAATTAAATCAAGGATACGGGGGAAAAAAAAGCGCAAAAGAATTTATAATGGGTTTTTGTTTTTAAAATTTTATTATTCATATTGCATTGACGTATTTTGTGTTATAAGTGCATGTTAATTAAATTAGTGAATTTAATTAGTTTGATAAAATACTATAGTAGTTGAAAGAGACTTTATTTCTTTAAAAAGATGTAAATAAAAAAAAATTACGATATTTGAAATTTATTAATTGTATTTTAATTAAAAGTGGTAAATAAATTATAATTAAAAATTTGTCATTTTTGCATGTGAATAGAAATAATGGATATAATTTTAATTTTTTTTTTTTCTTTTGAAATGATTTATTATATTTCTAAAGGAATTTATATAAAATATTTGAATTAAACAATATCAATAATTTGAAAAGGTGCTTTTCAAAGGAATAAACGAAAAAAAATTGTTAATTGTGTATAAACGTTATTGAATTATTGGACGAATAGGTCGATTCAATCTTCAACGATAAAAGCAATTTTCATGGACCTGTTTAATATATATGTATATATATATACGATGAGCCTGAATCTATTTAATCACGATGAAAACAAAGCAGATAGTATTACGTAAACATATGGACCACTGACCTCCACCTTGATAATAGATAGAAGCACAACTGATTTTCAAAAACAATATATACATATATATATTAAAATTATTTTCCATTCATATTTCAATTTAAATAAAAATTAAAATACAATTTTTTTTTCACAAAAATTTAATTTAATGAAATAATAAATATGAGAAAAAATTTTCAATTTAAAATAATCGACATAAAATATGTCAAATAAATATTTACTTGAACCAAATAATTTTTGAGTAAATTAAATTTTATTTGTTTGAATCACAGAAATAATTGATTTATAAATATAGGGTTTATTTGATTTAAATAAAAATTATTTGATATACAAATAAATATTTTTTTTTTATAATAGTCAAGTAACTGATTATTTGAAGCAAATAAATTTTTTTCACTATTTTTTTTTTTTTTTATAACTGATCCCTAGGAAAAATTAAAATTTGAAATAAAAATTAATTAAATTTGGATGAAATTTTTTCATTTTCGAGTCAAAAATTATTAGAATTGAAAAATACGAATTCGCAATATTTTTTTTGGCAAATTGTAGGATTAGTTATTTATTTTTTTTTTAAACGAGAAAATTTGAAAGCATTTTTTTTTTTTTATGGAAACATTGGTGAAGTCGTGTTTGGTATTGATAATTAAACATGAAAAATTTGTGATGCGATAAAAACTGAAAACGATATTTTTGCGATTGGAAAAAGGGAAGGATAAAATAGAACAATTTGTCATGGGATACAGTGTTGTTCAGAATACATTTTACTCGTATTTTTGGACTTGATCCAAATTTTACCAATGTTCAACCGGAAATCATTATATATATATATATATATCTATCTTTCTTTCTTTAGCGAAAAAATGAAAGGGGAAAAAAATATTTCTCTCTAGGGTGCATTCTATATACATATATATAGAGTAAAGTTTTGGAATGCATTCTCATAGAAATTTATTTCCAAGTGAGTAGAGTGATGAATCTTTTATTTTCAACAAAATTTGTGAAGGAAATTTTCCAACATTTTAGAACTCAGTGCGCTTGGCACAATTTGGATTTATGTCGCACTTAAATGAGAAAGTAGAATTTTTACTTAGGAAAATTGAAAAAAAAACGGGGCAAAGTATTTTTATATGGGAAGATAGAGTGACAACTTTAAATATTTTTTTCAATTGCTGTTTGGAAACAAATTTTTTTTTTCTCTCTTCTTTCAAGTTAAAAGAGTAAAATATCAAAGAAGGATAATTTAATATAAAAGTTTTTTATTTTTAAAATAAAATATGAAAATTGTCATTAAAAAAAATGAAGATTTGTTAATTATTTGAAAATTAAAGCTAAAAGAGATTTTATGCATTAAGTTTGTTATATATACCTATGTAACTATGATAGTAAACAGAATAACTTATGACGTGTACTTTAAAGTTAGGGTACTACGAGTTTCTCTTCAACTTTGAAAATAGTTTTTCATCAAATAATTTTGACGAATTCCAATAATATTCTTATTTTTCAAATTTACATTTATATTACTTTAAATTTAAATTAGTTTAGAAAAATTTGCAAAACTTTTCCAATAAACTTTACCTTTTTTAATGTATATATATATATATTTTTTTTTATTAAAATTTGAAATTGTACACGCGATGATTTTTCCAATATTAATTTTATACCGAAACCTATATATAGATATTATATATGAAAACAATTTTTTTATTTGGATCAAAAATATAAAGAGATTTTTTTTTATATTTTATTTTTAGCTTTCAAATTTTTTTTTGCATTCAGTTGAATTTAACGTTTTCAATATAGGGACATTTGCCAAAAAAAAGTAATGTAGGTCTTTGGTTTATAAATAACGAAACCGATCAATAGAAAAAATTTTATTCCTTTTTATATTATTGAGATTTTGCTTTATGTTTTTTGATTTAATGGTTATATTCACGCGAAATATGGTTTATGGAAAAGGAAAATAAATTTTCTTTTTAAATAAAAGTGCAATTCATGGTATATGTCTGACTAAAATATATGCTTTTACTACTTATAGTAAAAATATCATAATTTTTGTTTGAATCAAATTGCATCATTTGATGTAAAAATGAAATAATTTTGTGTTAATAAAAATTGTTTTTACTACTTTAGCTAATGATATTTAACATTTTGTTTCGTGGTCAATATTTATATTACCGTTGCTAAGGAAAAAAAGTTCTTAGCAACGGAAGCTAAGGAAAAGACGGTCATGGTAACAGTTGCCGTGGAAACGGTTGCTATGGAAACGATTACTATGGAAACGGTTGCTAGGCTAACAGTTGCCATGGAAACCGTACTTTACAAATGCTCCCAACCTAAAAATCTAAAATTCCTGCTAGGACCATAATGAGTAACTAAGTTTGTCGCTTACTTATTTCGTTATATCAAATAAAAAATAAGTTGCAACAAAAATGAGTGAAATTTTTTTTTCTAAAATTTAATTTCTAAAAGTAAATGAGTTATTTATAAATATTTACCTGTTTTACTGGCAAACGGATCCTTAGGATGATTGGTCTTAATGGCATTTGTCCTACGATTTTGTGCGCCCGTTGTTCCACCGCATCCTCCAGCTCCTGGGGGTAGGAGGGCGGCTTGTGGTCCACTACCAAGTGGACCACCACCACCGCCGCCACCGCCTCCAGTTCCACCTCCCCCGGGAGCCCCAGGTGCACGGACCCGGGGTTGCTCGACTGGTAGAACTCGACGTCTCTTCTTCGGGAGCTTAGCTCGCGCCTGCGTGTGACTGTAATACATCGCAAAATTGCTGACGATCACGGGCACTGGCAGTGCGATTGTGAGTACGCCGGCCAAAGCGCAGAGGGCGCCAACAAACATTCCAACATATGTTTTTGGCACCATGTCACCATAGCCGACGGTGGTCATTGTGACCAACGCCCACCACAAACCAAGCGGTATACTTTTAAAATCATTCTTTGGATTATATTGAATACGCTCGGCATAATAAACCAGACTCGCGAAGATGACGATGCCGAGCACCAGAAAGAACACCAGGAGGGTTAATTCTTTAGCTGAGGCACGAAATGTTTGTATTAAAATTTTCAAACCCGACGAATGTCTTGTTAATTTAAATAATCTCATTATTCTAATTATACTGAAGAATTCCAATATATCGGCATTTTCCAAATGTGATGCAAATTTTTGTAATGCCAAATCAATATAAAAGCTTAATGTTGCAATCATATCGATTAAATTCACTGAACTCTTGATGAAATCACAACGATTTGGACTTGCTGTGATTCTTATGAGAAATTCAAGTGTAAACCATGCGTTGCAAATGCATTCAATGTAAAAGAATACATCGTGTGCATTTGTATGTGTTTTGTCCAATACCCATTTTGTTTCGTTGCCAACTTTTGCTGATCTATTGACAATTATTGGTACCCTCATGTCCGGATGTGTCTTTAGGCAAAACGAGAGAATCGACACGCAAATAAAGAACACTGATACGACGCCGATTATCTGAAAATTCAAAGAGAAACACATTTTAATATTAATCATTTTTTATTCATATAATTATAAAAAAAGAAGTTTAAATTAATATTTTTTAAACAATATTTTAAAGATATTATTTGAAAATTAATTACTATGGTAACCGTTTTTAATGTAACAGTTGCCATAGTAGTAATAAACTTTCTGCAATTGGTTTCGGACTTAAGTGAATAAAAATAAATAAAATAACAAGATTAATATTAAAATTAATTATCCTTTTGTAGAAAAATTTTCGTTAAATAAAAAAATAAGAGTGGCAGTTTTGCAAAGTTTCTGCAATTGGTTTCGGACTTAAGTGAATAAAAATTAATAAAATAAAAAAATTAATATTAAAATTGATTATCTTTTTTTAGAAAAATTTTCGTTAAATAAAAAAATTATGTGTGGCAATTTTGCAAAGTTTCTGCAATTGGTTTCGGACTTAAGTGAATAAAAATAAATAAAATAACAAGATTAATATTAAAATTGATTATCTTTTTGTAGAAAGATTTTCGTTAAATAAAAAAATTATGTGTGGCAATTTTGCAAAGTTTCTGCAATTGGTTTCGAACTTAAGTGAATAAAAATAAATAAAATAACAAGATTAATATTAAAATTGATTATCTTTTTGTAGAAAGATTTTCGTTAAATAAAAAAATAAGGGTGGCAGTTTTGCAAAGTTTCTGCAATTGGTTTCGGACTTAAGTGAATAAAAATTAATAAAATAAAAAAATTAATATTAAAATTGATTATCTTTTTTTAGAAAAATTTTCGTTAAATAAAAAAATTATGTGTGGCAATTTTGCAAAGTTTCTGCAATTGGTTTCGGACTTAAGTGAATAAAAATAAATAAAATAACAAGATTAATATTAAAATTGATTATCTTTTTGTAGAAAGATTTTCGTTAAATAAAAAAATTATGTGTGGCAATTTTGCAAAGTTTCTGCAATTGGTTTCGAACTTAAGTGAATAAAAATAAATAAAATAACAAGATTAATATTAAAATTGATTATCTTTTTGTAGAAAGATTTTCGTTAAATAAAAAAATAAGGGTGGCAGTTTTGCAAAGTTTCTGCAATTGGTTTCGGACTTAAGTGAATAAAAATAAATAAAATAACAAAATTAATATTAAAATTGATTATCTTTTTTTAGAAAAATTTTCGTTAAATAAAAAAATTATGTGTGTCAATTTTGCAAAGTTTCTGTAATTGGTTTCGGACTTAAGTGAATAAAAATAAATAAAATAACAAGATTATTATAAAAATTGATTATCTTTTTGTAGAAAAATTTTCGTTAGGTAAGAAAATTATGTGTTGCAGTTAATATGATAACTGTTCAATGTTACACTAAAATAAAAAATATAAATACTATTTTTTTTAAACAAAATCTTATTCCGATACTTATGACAATATATTAATACATTACAATCAACTATTTTTCTTTATTTATAGACGTTAGATTAAAAATACAATATTGTCATTGTGTAATATTATTTTTCGATTTAATCGGTTTTTTTTTATTTTTCTTCATAAATAATAGAAATGTTTTCTCCAAATAGATTCTTATAGATTATTAATCAAAACAATTAATCTTTGTATATAATTAAAGATAAATAGAAAGGGGGAAAAACAAGACAAACAAAAATCCAAATTTTGAGATAAAATATAGTATATATATATATTTAAAGATTGTAGATAATTAGAGAGAGAGAGAGAGAGAGAGAGAGAGAGAGAGAGAGAGAGAGAGAGAGAGAGAGAGAGAGAGAGAGAGAGAGAGAGAGAGAGAGAGAGAGAGAGAGAGAAATGAAACAATTCTATAATATTATATAATTAGACACTTTATTAATTTGAAGAAAAGAAAAAGGACATTGATAAATCATTTGAGGAGAAAATAAAAATATTACGACAAACACACATACGTATATTTGTCATTTGATTGCCATATACATATATACTATATATATATATATATATATATATATATTTGAGGGCGCGACATCCGTTATTGTAAAAGTAGGTCATTTCAACGAAAAAAAATCGAATCTACAGATTAAGACTCCATTAATGATATATTTCGAGTAGTGGATGTGAAATAAAAAAAATATATATGTGAACACTTAAATTTTCTTCTTTAAAAAAAAGCCAAAGAGTATTTCTTTTTTCTCTCAAGTAGTCTAATTTTTTTTTTTGTATATAATTAGTGAAAATTAAGAATCTAAAATGGGTTTCTTATTATGAACAAGTCAAATTATACCCTCTAGAAATAAACTTAAATGTGCTGAAATACTCTGAAGTTATTAATGTAAATACCTATGCGCAATTCAGAGTTTACTTTGAATAAAAAACTTTAATTAATTCTATTAAAAGAGTTTAAATTTAATTTTTTTTGTATGAAAATAAAAAAAAAGAAAAACATATTGTGGATGAAAATATAAGAAATTTTATTAAATATAAATAAATTTTTAACATTTTATTAGAATGTAAAATATAAAAATATTTTTTTCGAAATATTTTGATGAAATGCTTTTTATCGATACAACAGTAAAGGAGGTGATGGGGGTGGGGGTGGCTATTTAGAATGATAAGTAGAGCGTTAACAACATGATTATATAGACATAAATACATTGAATAGGATAGTTGGTGTATTACTTGAATAAGGATCGTTGCCAAATATAAAGGGTTTTACTTTTCTCATTCGACAATCCTCTTAGCGAAGAAAACGTTTGCGTTTCCAATCCGAAAAGGCATATACCCTACTTGTCCCCTCTATATATAATGCTAACCATGTTTTACCAAACCACAAGATTCAACAAATGGATTGGATTTTCGAATAAAATAAATAAATGAATGAATTATACGATTCATAAATCTTTCTTCTATTTTTTGTGTCCCCCCTTTCAAAAATGGTCACATTTTTCTTTATTTCTATGACGATTTATATTTTGAACAAGCCACTATAAATATATCAACAATAATAATGTTTTTATTATAAATTATTGTTTCATCAATTTTTCAAAATATATTAAAAATAGAGAAACATATATGAATAAGTTCTAAAAATCAATATTGTTGGAGTTTTGCATTTTTTTTTTATTAGTTATAATTTTCACTGAGCCGAATTTTATAAATGTTCGAATTATTCATAAAAATTCGACACAATGAAAATTATATCTAAAAAAATTAATATTCCAAAAAAAAAAGAAATAAAAAGTATTTTTTAATAAAAGTTTAATTATAAAACGTGTTTTATTTTTATAAACATTCATGCATAATGTAATAGATTTTAGGATAAATAATGAAATCCCTTTTCTGTATAGTTCTATATATATATACGAAATTTAATAAATTGAGAAATTGAGTTACAGATTCTATTAGGAAAATGGTTATATAGCGAGATTCAAAGAATAAAGGCAAAAAATATGATTGATGAGAAAAGTAATTAACACACAAGAGGGTTGTGTGTTGTGATATAAAAAAAAAATTTATCGAATTAAAGGAATAAAATAAATTAAAGTTGAAATTAAATATAAAATGAGAACTAAATATAAATTTTTTTTAATATAAATGCTTTTTAAATATAAAATTTTTTTTTTAAAATAATTTATTTTTTTAAATATGCTAAAATAATTCTATAATTATTAATTTAGATTAATGAAAAATTTCCTTGAAATAAGAAAGGTGAGATAGTAAAATTATAGTTTATTTCAATTATTTTTCTTAATTAACAATAATTTTTTTTTCAGGAAATTTTGTTAGTGAGACACTTGAGAGCAAATCATGTGGGATACATTAAAAACGGTTTACTACTACCACTTCTATTTTTTATATAAAAAGGGAGGTTGGGAAAACAATCAAATGTCTTGGGAACAGTCGTTTTCAAGGGAAACATTTATTGATTGTTATTCCTCTCTCTCTCTTTCTTATATAATATATATATATGCTATCTGTAACCATTATCTTCAAAAAAAAGGGGGAGAGATATTCTGTCTCCATTCGTGCAAATTATACTCTCTTGATAATTTATATTATTACATTTTATTGTCAGAATTATATTTATTTCATTTCATTAAAAGCATCTGCCTACTATAAGGGCTTTTAAGCTTTTATATCTTTATCAAAATTATAGCATTAATTATATTTATCATTGATTATAAAATTTATTGTCAAAACCAAAAAGAAAAATTAATTATAAATAAATGAAAAAAATTTTTTTTTTTATCTTAATAATTTAATAAATTTTTTTTTTTTTTTTAATCTTAATAATAATATTTAATAAAAAATTACCGACCTTGGCAGCATTTGAGGAATAAGGTTCATCAAAAAGGGACCACATTTTTGGTTTGAGCTTTTGCCACCACGTTAGAGTACCTTCGTAGTAGGCCTCCTCGAATCCAAACTTCCTGGCAAGTTCCTCGTCACTTGGCTTTTCTGTATCGAGGTCTAACCTGTCCAATACTGTCAAAGTCTCTTGCGTGTCTCGATGCTGAAAAAAAAACAACAAATTTTCATTGCGACTTTTTTTCCAAAAATTTTTTTTTTTAAATTTATAATTAAGATTTTATGGAAAAAAAATGTCATTAAGACTCTTTTTCGAAAAAATACCCTTTTTTTCGTTATAATTAAAATTTTAGTGACACTTTGTCATGTGATTTTTAATTTTTTATCGAAAAAGACAAATTAAAAATTAATTAATTGATTTAATCTAATATATATATACTTTTAATTAGAAAATCAAAAGTTAAAATTTAATTATTTTAATTGGATTTTGACCTATAAAGAAAAGCATTTAATTTATTTTATTTTATTTTATTGCGATATAGAGTTTCGATAATTAATTAAATATTTAAAGGTGAGCTTGACTTATGTTTCATTAGCATTTGCGATACGATTAATATTGATTACAATTTTACGTGATATGTTATATATATATATATATATAATTATCTGTGGAAAATTGAAAAAGAAAAAAATTATATTTTAATGGCAAAAATTATTATTACGTAAAAATTAATAAAAAAAATACGATTGGTTTTTGGCTAATGGTCTTTCTCGTTCAATGTTTTTTGTCAATAGAAAATGCAATCGTTTTCTCTCTAATTCCATTGAATTTCCCTTGGGGAGAAACCAACGAGGATATATCCATTTTATAGGCCAGACTCTCTCTCTCTCTATATATATACCAGAATTTATATATACACAAATTTCCAATGAAACAAAAATTGCACAAGATGATTTATAATTCAAAAACAAATTTCATTTTTTTTTTTATCTAATTTTTTTGTAAAATTGGAATTTGCATATATTGTATGGTTTCATATATATATATTGGATATTGTAGGATGATAATAATAACAATTTAGTAAAGAGAAAATAATAATAAATGTTATAATTATTGTAGTTGATGGTAGTATTGGATTATAATAATAATATTATAAACATTAAATGGTTTCTAATTAATTAATAATGAAAATAAATAATTTAATTGTCTCTCTAGAGTAGTGTATTTTATTATTAATAATCAAAGGAAGCAAGTAATTATATTTATTTAATTTTCATCATATATATATATAAATTTATACTAAAATAATTCCTCAGTTGAGAAATTTCTACAAAGAGAAAGTAATTCCTTACGGAGAGTGCTCTGATTTTAATTTAAATTCACAATTTATTTTAATTAAATCTTTTTTTTCAAAAATATGCAAGAAAAAACATTTTTACTTTTGTAAAATAATTACTTTATTTATTGTAAATAAATATTATATATTATTAATTATAATAATAATTTAATAAATAGACAAAAAATATTAATATTCAAAATAATAATAATAATTATTATTATTATTATTCTAATTTTAATATAAATAAATCTAAAAAAACAAGTTGTTTAGAAGAATAATAGTTTCAGCTTTGAATTAGATAAAAATTCTCAATTTTTTTTTAATTGGTTCATTAATTCTGTTTTTAAATGTATTTTCTTTTTTTTCAACGGAAGAAAATTTTTGGAAATGTTTTTTTCAATTCAATTTTTCATTTAAATAAATATATGTGTTAAACAAACTGAAAAAGTCTGAAATCTACAAACGAGAGATTTTTCGTGGATTTGTCTTAATAGAAGAATTTTATTCCATGCATAGTAAACACAAAGGGAACTGAAGCTCATCTCTGCTAATTAGATGCACATTTCCTCTTCCAGGGAAAGCCAAAATTAACAGATTTAATTTATGAAAAAAAAGAATCATATTCCCCTTTTTACATTTTAAAAACGTGGGAATTTTTTTTTTTAAATTTAATATCCAAATTATGAAATGAAATTAAATTCTTTGATAATGAAAATAGTGGAGTTTTTTTTTTCAAAATGTAAAAATCCTGTTACAAATAATTGTTGGTAAACAATTTTTTTTTTTTTCACCAAAGTTTATGTTGAGTAGGAATTTTTAATTAAAGAAAAAAATTTAATTTTTATTTATAATTCCATAATATAAAATTTAATTACATTAAAAGTTCTTCTTTAATTTAACGAAAAAAAAGGAATGATTTTGTCTTTTTGAAAATTTAATTATAAAGAACATCATAGTTGAAACAAATTATTATTATTATTATGAAATAAATATTTACTTGAACCAAATAATTTTTTATTTATATTTCGGGACAATTTTTATTTGAATTAAATAAACTGTATTTTAGTCAATTAAATGGTATTTGTTTCAAAGAAAGAAATTATTGGTTAAAATAAAGTTTTTTTAATACAAATAAAAATTATTTGGTTCAAGTAAATATTTATTTGATAATAATCAAATGAGCGATTATTTTGAATCAAATAAATTTTTTTTTAGTGTAATTATAATAATAGTAATAATAATAATAATAATTTTGAAAAGGGCGGCGTTTTATAAAATTGTCCATGATTACAAGTCAAAAAACAGAAAAAAAACTCTAATTTACTCTCTTTTTTTTTTTATTTATTTCAAGTCTTTGATAATTTACTTTGAGTAGAGGATCGAAATGTCATTGATAATTTGTAGCAACATGGCGTATTTTAATTTTATTGAAATACTGGATGACAATTTTTTTTTCTTTTTTTCATTTTTCTTCTTTTTTTTCAATCAGAAACTCTCTTGTCTGCGACAAAAGTTTCTTGACTGGCAAAGGACTTTTAGATTCCAGAGACTCGTTAGTGCGCCTCGTTTGGAATGATTGAGTTCTCGAAAGAAAGTAATCGACAGATCACCGCAAAACTTTTTTCAAACGATTTTATAAAATACAACTTTCTTTATTTCTTTCTTTAAAAAATTTTTTAAAATTAAAAATTTATTTGAAAACAAAAAGAGAAAGAAGATTACTTTTTCCTTAAAAAAAAAAAAAAATCATTTTTAATTTAAAAAAAAAAAATTGTTTATTACAAGTCAAGAGTTTTTTTTTTTCACTGAAAAGTAATTTTCTGAGTGGAAAACATCTGCGAATATTATATAGTTGGACGCAATTTTCTCTATAGAAACGGTATAATATTCGACCAGACATGACGACTTTTATTCTCTTTCTCTTGGATAAAGTTTATTTAAATAGATGAAAGAAAAAAGAAAATTATTATTTTTACATTAAAAAAAGAGATTCTTTTTTTATAATTAAAAAATGAAAATTATTATTTTTATAATGAAAAAAAGCAGAAGTCTGACTTAAATTTACTTGTACTACTGTTTTTCAATTTTTTTTATAATTACGAAAAAAATACATTTTTTCTAAATTTTTTTTTCTAATATTTCCGTCTGACTAAAAATTTCTTTTACTACTGACAATATAGAATAATAAAATTTAATAGATTCTCGTCTGACTAAAACTTTCACTAACTACTTACATTAAAATTACATTAATTTTTTTAATAACTGACTGCTTAATTTTTAATGTCTGACTTAAATTTACTTGTACTACTGTCAATTTTTTAATTTTTTAAATAAATTTTTAATTACAAAAACTTTTAATATTTCCGTCTTACTAAAACTTACTTCTACTACTGCCAAACGAATAATGGGAATTAATAATCTCTTGTCTGACCAAAAAAATACATTTACTACTTGTCAGAAACAGTTTTTTTTTTGTAATTTTTTCTATTAATAGTAAAAGTAGGTTTTAGTCAAACACAACTATTAAATCCCCTGTAAGTAAATCTATAATTAGCAAAAAAAAAAAAAATTAAAATACTTAAAATATAAGTAGTAAAAGTATATTTTAGTCAGACAGTAATCTATTCACTACTTTTATTATTATCGTTTAATTTATTCGAATTAAAAAAATATAATGAATTAAAATATAAATTATAAAATGTTTTGTAAACATATTTCAGTTTTATAATTTATTATATTTATAAATTATATAAAACACTGTGAAATTGGGTTCATTAAAATAAATTTAACTTTAATTAAAATGCTCATTTAAAGTTTGAAGAATTTTCCGATATTGAATAAGTAAAGTAAACTACTATATAATAATAATAATATTATTATTATTATTATTATTACCTATTATAATTAATATTATTTTTAGTATTATTATTATTATTATTATTATTATTATTATTATTATTATTATTATTATTATTTTTAGTATTATTATTAGTATTATTATTATTATTTTTAGTATTATTATTAGTATTATTATTATTATTATTATTATTATTATTATTATTTACAAAAAATATTATTCTTTATATTATGTATTTTGGAGGAAAAAAAAATTTGAAAATAAAAATATAAACCAAGATCAGTGGTTGAAAAAAAAAATTTATCTAAGACCTCTAAAATAGAAAAGTGAGTTTATGTCGTTGGTTATTTTTTATTTTTTTTATACTAAATCGTCCTTGTAGATAAGCCACAAAAGAATTTTTTTTTTTTTTTTTTTTATATAAAGTTTTCTTCTTTTTTTACCTTCAAACATCTTTCGAAATGCTTGAACGAGAATGGTAAGGGCGACGCGGAACTTTATCGCACCCAGCTCGATTTTCCGTAGTAGCAAAAACCTATTTATTCCTTTTGCACTTTCTCTCCCTCTCTCTCTCTCTCTCTCTCTCTCTCTCTCTCTCTCATCCAACGATCGTCCGGCAGGTGGTCTTCTTCGCGCGCTTATATAGCGTTCACAGCAAACGCCGTCTCTTATCGATTACTCGAGTTAAAAAAAAAAAATAAAATAAAATAAAATAAAATAGATCAAAGCCGTGAGCGCATTCTTGCACATAGTGGAACGCTAAATTCCCTTACATTGTCGCGCGTCGATTGGTGGCTTTCGCGATAAGAATTTCTAAAGTTCACGACGAAAAAAAAAAAGAAAAAAAATTGACTTCCACTTTACAAAAAAGGGGGAAAAAAAAATTCTATTCTCTTAATAATACTGTGTTATTTTTGGTAAATTTAGAAAAAAAGTTAATTTGACTTTAACGAATATTAATTTAAAAAAAAAACCTAAAAATTAATTTATTTTGACACAATTAAAATA